TGAGTTTATAATGTCGACCCAAAACTATAGATAAAAAGGTCGATATTGGTCCTAAACACACGTTATCTTGATATTTCAAATTATTAATTATATAAGATCAAATGGTCTAGGTTTGAAATATGAAATATTAAAGGTTTACACCATCAAATTGCAAATATGTACGAGAATTCAGCTAGTTTTATTTCATTGTTTCATTGTACAAATGTGTTAATTGTTCCATTGTACAAATGTGATAACTGTTTTATTGTACAAATTTTCATTGTTTCATTGTATAAATGGTAATTGTTTCATTGTACAAATGTTAATTGTTTCATTGTACAAATGTTAATTGTTTCATTGTACAAATGTTAATTGTTTCATTGTACAAATGTTGATTGTTTCATTGTACACTGTTCAGTGTTTTATTGTACAATTGTTCATTGTTTTACTGTACAGTTTTCATTGTTTCATTGTACAATTGTATATTGTTTCAGTGTATACAATATAAATACATACATAATTATTTAGCAAAGAAAGAAACAGGAACTATGGTGAGTGTAAGAAAAAAGACTGAAGACAATCGCGTCTTCTCTGAAGTCTCATTCTTTGTGGCTCCCCCTGTATCAGCTATGTAATAAATATAGTAACAACCAAGGTACTAATACAAGGAAAGTTATTTCAGAGGTGCACACCTTTTTTGGACTGCAGTGTACTGTCTTTGGGCGGAAAAGTAAACAAGACGGATGTCACAGCCTGACGTGGAATCCATTTTCACAAAAATAAACTATGAAATATTCTGGTCAAAGGAAACTATTATGTGAATTTTCAAAATTATCAAAATTAAAAGCTTTTATCCTCCCCGGATACTAGACGAACACTGATGGATCTATTCTTGTTTACAAATTCCGCCCAGAAAGAACTGGTTTCAATATATACGCAGAGTATACGCGACCGCAATTAACTTTCCTTGCATTAGTGCCTTGGTAACAACCCCCTTATCTTTCAAACCTTAACCTTAACCTATAATCTTTACCTGTACCCTTGTACCTTTATACCTAAATATAGTTAGTTGAATATAGACGCTATTTACGGACGGTTTATAGAACTACCATTGCTCGGTAGAGAGTACACTTAGACCTACCAGTGTTTGGTATAGGGGATAGAGTTCGATAGCTTTGTGTGGATAAATACAAACTTATACCTACAAGTGTTCGGTAGAGGGGATAGTGTTTGATAGCTTTATGTGTGGGTAAATACACATTAGACCCACCAGTGTTCGGTAGAGGGGATAGAGATTGATAGCTTTGTGTGTAGACAGATATACACTTAGACCTACCAGTGTTCGGTAGAGAGGATAGTGTTTGATAGCTTTGTTTGTGGATAAATACACACTTTGACCCACCAGTGTTCGGTAGAGGGGATAGAGTTCGATAGCTTTGTGTGTGGGTAAAATATACACTGAGAGAAATATTGGAGTAAGGCATTTATTACAGCCAGATAATTTCAAGTTTATGAGTTTGTTATCTTTTAATTAACCACGTTTACTTACTTACATTAAACTTAATATATTTTAATAAAGAAACTTCTTTAGTTAAAGTTTTTAAATGTTTTTTTTTATAAATTCACTAAACACACTCCATACAGTGCACAGTACACACAACATGCGTACTTTAGCAATTAATTATTCAGCAATTTTAGAACATCGAAGAAATTAAAGGGCCTGTAAGTGTAATTTCTGGTGACCATGTTTTTAAAGATGACAATACCCGACTTTAACAGTACCCTTTAGATGTACATATATTGCTTCTGATACAAATACACAATGAATAACGAGCGTATTAAATTAGAGGAAGATGAGTAGGTATTCTCTGGTTCCAGAATCCGACGCTACTGATCTGCGAATTTTATAATCTTCTTTCGAGGGTTTCCTCAACCTTTTTAAATTTTTGACTGATCATTGAAACCAGAGAACTCTGTGTGCTTATCTCTCATGCAAATAGTATTAGAATGTAAACCGGAAGTGTACGATAATTGGGTACTATAATGCGAATCAGAGAACTCTGTGTGCTTATCTCTCATGCAAATAGTATTAGAATGTAAACCGGAAGTGTACGATACTTGGGTACTATAATCGGATACTCAATTAGAATGTAAACCGGAAGTGTACGATACTTGGAAATATAAAACTACAAAATATTATTTCTTGACAGAACAAAAACACGCAAAACTAAAAATTTACAATAGAATAAATAGCATTTAAAGGGACTGTAAGTCCAATTTAAAGTGACATTTCATCTGAAGAGTGGTATCCTATATTCACATGGAAACCTTTGACTGATCAAGGATGACAATATTTTCCTTATTTATCTACAGAAACCCTTACACTTGTTGAACACTATATTTGAAAGCTGTTTTAAATTTTAGAAATATTAATATTTACTTTCTAGGAGTGGCCAGCATAATATAAATATTTTCATTTGAATTTTTAAACATTTTCCAGCAATAAAGGAATTGAGTTTTTGCCACAAACTCAGATTTTCTAATTATTATAACTTAGCAACCCGTTTTCCTAGACCTTTGATATTTCAAACTAGTAATTCTGGTATATCAGATAGTCTAAGTTTGAAATATCAAAGGTTTACGCCATCAGGTTGCAAAGATATAGGGGTTAGAAAATTTAAGTTTGTTGCAAAAACTCAATTCCTTTGACGACACCCTAGCGTCCATTGTATTTATACCACATTTGACACAGCAATTAAGAGATATATAAACACTGCTTTCACTGGTCTCCATAATTAGTTTTTTTTTAATCAGGGATGTTCTTCTTTAAATAGAAGGTCATTTGAAGTTACGTTTACAGATCTTTTGGCAATAAAACAAGATTTTTTCAGATTCCTTTTAAAATTGTGAAGAGGCAACTTGAAAAGGGGAAACATGTTACCCCCCCCCCCTTTAGCTTGTGAAAGTTATTAGAAACAAATGTTGATCCCAAAAATGTTGCAACTGTGCAGGATCAAATCAAAACATTTTCTTGCAAAAATACAGTATTATGGGAAGCAATGCATTTATCTGGCAATAACCATGTCAGGGCTTACAAAATCCGGTCCCAATCGGTTCAGCCGTTTGAGGTATTCTCTAAAGGCAATGTATGGAAGTTGAACTGAGAGTGGATTATTGTGGATAAATTTTTTAGGATTTATTTAAGTCCCATGCCAAAATACAACCGTACGCTTTAGATAAAAAAGATGGCAACATCCTTGCCTATTATTTGAAAATGGATCCTTTCAAATTTAGATTTTGCAGCAGATAAATAAACAGACGATTCTTTCTTGAAATTATCCGTATCATTGTAAATGCTTAATAAAGGAGAGTCCATTGAAGTTAATTCCAAAACTCATTAAATGCTTGTTGTTGTTTTTGAAAAGTTTACATAGCAATCTTTTTGTAAGTTTCTTTCTGTTCAGATGAAGACTTGATGAAAAAACAAAAAAGCTGAATTAAGAAATAGATTAGGCATGAATATAAAACAATAACACAATTTATGTTTTACTGATCTACAGGGTGTCCCAAAAAACATGGGAATTCAGTGACGAATTCGATATCGTCTTTTCAAATAATTCTTTGATTTAGTATAGTGATACCTACTGAGAAAGCTGTAATCGGTAAGAGTTTCGTCTGCTATGTTTACATTTTGTTTGTTTATGTTTTGACTGCAACCGGTTGTACTTAGTAAAACAAGAAAATTACAGTATACAAACAGAGTAAACTTGTCCGTATTCACTGTTCATCTTGCGGAGACATTATAGACACATCTTTGCAGTCGTTTACCCTTTTCATTAAATAAATTCTAGCAGACATAATAATATTATGGCTTTTGAAATTAGGTATTACAATGCTAATTCATAACAAAGACGATATCTATTTCGTCACTGAATTCCCATGTTTTTTGGGACACCCTGTATGTAGCTAGTCTTATCAAGGAAGAATATTCACACTAAATTCAGCTTTCAGTTCGAATGGTAATTTCAAGTGACTCCCCATTCTAAGATGATATTGGCCGATTTACATTGGTACCCCTAAAAGTCTGATTAAGTATGAATTACATATCCATGTTTTTGTTTCTTTGAACTGATAACTATTATTTTTTATACCTCTGCTAAAGTGACTTAAACCTTTATCTGATCAATAATGTGGAAGATATTGTTGTTTTCTAGGTTAAAACGTGTTTGATTTTTATATTTCTATATGTTTCCCTACAGAAGAAATGTGCTAGTCTATTTTGTAGAGAAACCACGAATAAAAATAGTCATTTTTTAAATTTTAAATATTTGCACAAGGGTTTTGTTGTTAATCGGTCATTGACTTATTTCCATGGAGGATCCCTTGAAATATCGATTATAGTCCCTTTACAGTAGAACTAGGTGTGCTAACATTCCTCTTAGAAACTGAAAAAGGGGTTTCTCATACAAATATATGGTACTAGTACAAACGTCGGACGCACAAACGTCGTACAGTACAAACGTCGGACGCATAAACGTGGGACCAGTACAAATGTGGGACCCGTACAAACGTCGGACTAGTACAAACGTCGGACTGGAACAAACGTCGGACTAGTACAACAGTCGGATTGGTACAAACGTCGGACTAGTACAAACGTCGGACTGGAACAAACGTCGGACTAGTACAACAGTCGGATTGGTACAAATGTCGGACTAGTACAAACGTCAGACTGGAACAAACGTCGGACTAGTACAACAGTCGGATTGGTACAAACGTCGGACCCTAGATAAATTAGAATAGATTGTTCATGTCGTCTTCACCATATCGGAGGGTTACAGTTGAAATTGAAAATAGCAATTTAGCTATATATGGACTAGCTACTGACATACAGTACATTTGATATAAAGGTTTGCGGCAAGTATATTTGTACTCTGTACAAATTTATATATCGATTCTCAGGCGAAGTTTGAATTCGAACAATTCCATCAATGTGAAATTAAGCAAACGACAGCACTCAAAAACTGCCAATTATTGCCCAGCAATTCTTTTTCGTCATTAAATCAATGTCCAAATATGCTTTCCCCGCAATCACCCCAAAAGTTCTTTTTCCGGTTTGCGCAGTTTGCCGCGGTCAATTTTCACTGCAGCTCCTAGCTCTCAAAGTACTTTTTCCGGTTGAAACCGCAGTTATCTAAAAGCGAGGAGCAGAGGAACAAGGACTGAATTTATTACAGTTAATTACGGGGTTAGTGATCAGATTTGCTATCAGAATTATCAATAGCTTTAGTTCATCAGTTTTTCAAAGAAAATACCTCGCATTTATTGCCCTCTAGCCCATAATAGCCATCATTTGACGGTCAGGCGTAAAGATAGGACGAGATTGGTTACAGAACACTCGGACTACGGCCACTACATGTTTAGATTTTTGGATGGTCGATCCGTGCTTCTCAAGCCGAGCGTAAACCCTCAGAGGCTGTTTCGTAGTCTGATTCCGTTCTATAACCAATTTCTCTCCGATCTTGAAGCCGAAAACTGATAATTTTGCAAGTTTGATTAATTGATGCATTGAAAATGAGAGAATTCATGCGGAGCCAGGAATCAATATTTATCTCGAAGTACCTCAGATTCTCAAAACGAAGAGATAAATATATCGATTCTCAGGCGAAGTTTGAATTCGAACAATTCCATCAATGTGAAATTAAGCAAACGACAGCACTCAAAAACTGCCAATTATTGCACACCAATTCTTTTTCGTCATTAAATCAATGTCCAAATATGCTTTCCCCGCAATCACCCCAAAAGTTCTTTTTCCGGTTTGCGCAGTTTGCCGCGGTCAATTTTCACTGCAGCTCCTCGCTCTCAAAGTACTTTTTCCGGTTGAAACCGCAGTTATCTAAAAGCGAGGAGCAGAGGAACAAGGACTGAATTTAACCAACCCACCCACCCAATTAGCGACACAAACATTGTAGTTAAAATATCTTTATATTTTGCAGTTTCAAGATGACTGAACTGAAAGAAGAGTCCATGTCATCAGAGGCTTTGGACAGACATGAATCACAATTGCTATTAGAAGCCCAGGAAAACCATATGAATATTTTATTTTCAATTGAGATATCAGACATACCCAAATTTTTTCATTTTCCCTTCTTTTTTCATTAGCATGAATTGATTGAAAACAATGAATGGCGTGTCGCCTTGATCTTTCGGAGCGTGTCGCTCAATGTTACTTTTAGGCGTGTCGCCTCAGCTACATGGAAGGCGTGCCGCCTCAGAAAAACGGAAGGCGTGCCGACAATTTTCCTTACTTAAAATTGAAAAAGCGGGACGCTTTAGATACCTTTTTGCTTAGCTGTCACTATTAGTTTTTGAATTCATCAATTGTTATCAATCATATCGAGTGCAACATGAACCAAAAAAATGCAAGAAATTTGTTTTACTTTCATTGTTTTCGCCATTTCCTTCAATGCAAATGCGTCATTTTCCAGGAATTCTGCATCTCGCAAAATAATAAACCTAAAAAGGGGGGGGGGGTTATTATTATTTCTTTCCTCAGTTATCATAATCTGGAATAACAACGTCAATGCAAATGTTTTCTTTTTCCAAAGCAGGTTCCAAAGTCAAATTATGATGTTCAAAAAACAACATCACATTTTTTATTGCTTCAACTTTCGTTCCAACATTAGATTAGGCCCTTCCAAAATTTCATATCCCCACAAAAAGTCTTCAATTCAGCAACAAAAATTTCATATGTTTTTTTTTTTAACAGAACTGCTCAAAACATGAAAGCATTGATAGCTCAGCAAGGATTACCTTAGTTCAGAAGGTCAACGTGAGGAAGGATACAATCGCGGCAGTGTTGTCAACCAAGGCAGCATGGACCCTACCACCAGATGCCACAGAGGCACAGAAGGCAGCGAAGGAGACCCAGATGAAAATGTTGAGGCAGATCGCCAACAAAGCAGATTCTGATTACTTGCATTTCCTCGTCAAGTTCCAATACGGAGAGGAAGGCACTGGTTTACTGCCATCTTCGGATTCATTCTCATTAGTTCCACCTGAAATGAAAAAGAAGCTGGAGAACATGAAACAAGAAAGGTTGAAGCTGAAGAGAAAGGATCCTATAGATTCCGACAGAAGACAGGATTATGTTCCCAGAGCCCGAGAAACTTACGGTCAGGCTCGCTACAAGTTCCCTCAAAGAGGTAGGGGAAACCTTTATGCAAGTCCATACCCCTCTCCTTACCTTCATAACTCAGGCTTCGACAACACAACTGGTCTCCCAGCGGCAAGTTTTTCAGAAGGATGGGCCCCTCCATCTTACCCAGGGGGATTCATCCATTCCGTGCCAGCAGGAACCCCTCTGAACTTCAACCAGTTCGGAACAGGTTCAAACCAGGGAGCATACGGTTCAAGATACGCACCCGGAGGTTCGCCGTTCAAACAATCTCAATGGTATCCAGGTTCTTCATCCATCCAGTATCCAGAGCAGCCTCAACCTAGCTACGATAGTCGCGACATTCAGGAGAGGAAAAAGAATTCAAAATGCAGAAAGTGCGACGCGTACGGCCACTGGCATTCAGATGGTCTTTGCAAACAAGCGGACATCGACGCAAAGATCGCAAGACTTCGCATCAGGGATGAACAATACCATCAAGCCGCCAAGGAAGCCGCTCTCCAGCTCACCCATTTCTCACCTTCGAAAGGAAATTAAATTATTCATTAACTGGATTTAGAAGAAAGATGAGTGGCCAGATTTTCAGTATTTAATTTTCAATATAGATAAATAATTCATCAGACACGAATTTCGTCAACATGCTCTTTTCAAATATTAGTTGCCTTTCTTTATTTATAATGAAGCCCAGAAAAGTAATTTGATTTAGCCGATCAAAATTCCAGTGTTTTGTTTTCTTGACAGTTTCGATCTCTCAGAGAAATTATATGTGATACTTATCTTGTCAGATTTCAATTGTGCCAAATAATCAACGTCGCTATGTACCTGTGCCACCATAAATATAGTTATAAAATAAATTCGTGCATTTTCTTTCTTAATTTAGCATTAATCAACAAAGAGAATCAACCAGTAAAAATCTAATTATTAATCTGAAATTTTGCCTTTTAATTCCATGGGAAGCTCAAACAAAAAACCGAAAGAAAACATTTAAATAGACCTAACATTTCAGTCAAACGCAAAGTCACATCTTCATTTCACATTTTTTCATTCCTCAATTCCAGTTTCCAGTCAATGGTCGTTCAAAGTCAGTTTCACAATTCATTTGATTCTCAGTCGGTCAGGTCATCAATTTCAGTTCATCAGGTTTTCATTTCATCGATTCGATCAGTCCATCGGGTTTTTTCAGTTCATTATTTTCACTCAGATCATCAGTTTCACCAGGTCATCAGGTTATCAATCAGTGGTCCACCAGTTTTTCGGCCTACAGGTTCATCGGTTCACGGTTTCAGGGTTTTTCAGTTTTCAACTTTCAGTCCCACAGTCTATTCAGTTTTCATCAGTTTTCTTCAATTCTTAGTCAGTTTTTCATCAGCTCACCAGCCTATCAGCTCATCAGATTTTGGTTTTCAAATTTCAGCGGCCAAAAATTTTCAGTCTCATTTCAGCTTTCCGGTTTCAGTCTTTCAGGTTTTCAGTTTCCATCTTTTCATCGGTTTTCCAGCTTTCAGCCTGCCAACTGGTCAGTTTTCAGTTCTTCACTCGCATGTCTCAGGTCTCAGTTTTACAGTGTTCAGCAATCAGTTTGTCAGTTCATCAATTGTCAGTTTTCATTTTCAACCAGCCCTCAGTCCGTAAAAATTTTTTCTTTTTCAGTTTATTGTCGTTTCAGTTACCAATTTCATCAATGTTTCGTTTTATCATCTTATCAGTGGTATTTTTAAATGCACAACAATCAAATTCAAGTTAGCACGAAGCCAATTAAGTTTAGCAGATTTTAATTTAGCTGTGAGTTTTTAAATGAGGTGTTTATTGAAGTTTAATTTACAACCAGAAACCTGCGAATCTATAGTGCTCGAGACAGGCTGGACAAACCCTGAAGTCACATACACCAAATTAGTGGATTTTCTGACAAAGCTCAATCATGTTTTACCTACCACCGGGTTTTCCATCCATGAAACTTCGTCCGTCCGATTTATGAGAGACATAATAGGGGCCGAGCAGTGGGTCTTGAACATGCTAATTTCCGGAATCAAATTAGATTTTTCATCAAAGCCACCATCCAGTTACATAGAACTAAATAACAAATCAGCCATTAAATACATGGATTTTTTAAGAGAAAAAATCTTAGAGTGGGAAAAGGCAGGTTTCGTTTCGCGTCTAGCCAAGAAGCCCGGTATAGTAAATCCAATGTCCGTGATAACAAAGATAGATTATGTATCCGTGGTAACCAAGAAAAGACCTGTCATAGAGTTATCTAGGTGCATTAACAAGTTGCTGCATACTCGATCGTTTTCCATGGACACTTTGTCCGACTGTGAATCATTAATTTCAAAGAACGATCACCAAGTTATCTTCGATCTTGAGAACATGTACTTACATTTCAAACTGAATGAGGACCACAAAAAATTTTTCGCGTTCTCAATCAAAAATAACAACGACGAGGACGTGTTTTTCCAGTTCAACGTCATGTGTTATGGTTACTCACTGGCAGGGTATATAGTAACTAGAATGATAGTGCCGATCAAAGCATTTCTCCACAAACTAGGGATTCGGATGAGCATTTACATTGATGACGGCAGAATCTTGGCTCAGACTAAGGCTGAATGCTACTTCAAAGCTCAATTCGTCCTTCACGTCTTTCAACTTGCAGGCTATAGCATTCAATGGAAGAAGACGGACATGACCCCGCGCCAATCCACAACTTATCAAGGATTCATCACGGACACAGTCCACATGAGATATTTCATCCAAATAGAGAAATTTTCCATCGTCCAAGCCCTACTCGAAGAAACTCTGTTCAAACTGCAAGAGCCAGGCAAACTATTCAGAGTCAGAGAGTTAGCTTCTCTTTTGGGAAAAATCCATAGTCTCAGCAGATCACACGGATCCATCGTGTCGGTCATGACCAGACACACACAACATGTAGTAGGAAAACAAGTTTTCAAGAACGGCTGGGAGTCTTCAATTAGTTTAGACGAACATTGTAGAACCGAGCTGAGTTTCTTGCAAGACAACCTGATAAAATTTAATGGAAAACTGATTCCCGTGACCAAGGAAGCAAACAAGACAGTCGGACACCAGGAAGTTAGCCATTTCATAAAACAAGTCTGCTACTCAGAGGAGCTTCTCCCCGACCTAGTGGTATCCGACGCGTCAGAGTCTCATGCATTCGTCTTCCATAAAGACCAATTCATCAAGGTTCAAGATTTCGAGTTCGACGAATACGAAACAACATTGTCCTCGGGACACAGAGAATTACTGGCTACGCTGAAATACTTGGAACATTGCAAGAAAACAAAGATTCAGTTCACTTCTCCAATAATTTACTGGCAGACAGATTCAAAGAACAATTTTTCTTTTCTGACGAAAGGTTCGAGAAAACCAAGAATCCAGAAGGACATAGTGAAAATAAAGTTCTTGGAACTAGAGCTGGGGATCACAATAATACCCATTTGGACTCCTCGGTCCCACTCAAGAATCATCCTGGCGGATTTAGGAAACAAGTTCAGTCAATCTTCTGACAAGTGGGGAGTCTCCAGGAACCGTCTCAAACAGATTTTTAGTCAGTTCAATGTATCACCCACGATTGACGCGTTTGCCTCAGAAGTTAGTTCAGTATGTTCACAGTTTTTCTCAAAAATACCACAGAACAATTGTTCAGGGATCAATTTTTTCGCCCAAAAAATGGAGTCAAATCAAGTTTATTTTTGTTGCCCCCCTGTCAAAGAAATAATTTTTACCTTCAAAAAATTGATACATTCCCCAAACATTGTTGCCATCCTTATCATACCAGCATGGCCTTCAGCCAACTTTTGGACTTATTTACACAATGGCAAGACTTTCAGGTGAGAAATTAAAGATGTGATTATTTTTGATCCAGATTTTTTAGTATTTAACCAGGTCAACAGCATTTTCTCCAGAAAACCTAAATTCAAAATGTTAGCCCTAAAAATTATGTCGTAATGTTCCCATGTATAAATTCTAATCAAGATCACCAAATGTTTGATATTCAATTTGGGCATTCTTGATAAAAAAAAAAAATTGCTACTACAGGCGATAATTATTTTACTATGTCTCAGATTTGGAATCGATCAAATAAAGGCGCCAGTTAATTTTATCAAATTATAAAAAGTCTGTTTTCGTTCATAATTTAAAACCACACAAGTCATAAACAATCATTTCAATTGGGGAATCATTAAATATATGTCAAGTTATAATTTTACTAATTTTACTTCAGATAGAATGGCTGACACCCGTACACAGGAGCTAGAGACAATAGGCCATTCTTATGAGATTGTTAGACATGATCTCGGCTTGACAGTCCACATAACCGAACCCCTACAGTCAGTGACAGCAGATCATGATTACAGAGGTCAACACGAAGGGATCAAACCACCTTTCGGATTGTCAATCATCAATTTTCCTAAATACAAACTGATGTTAGATCGAGACCCTTCTCTAATAGATGCAGTAAATGTAATGATGACCCCCCCTATTGCAGAATCAACCATTGCAACGTACACCCCCATGGTGAAGAAGTTGGAGACCTTCTGTCAGGAACAGAATTATCCTTTCCCTCAGATCTCAGAACCGTCAATCCTCCACTTCTTAGCACAAGGTGTGAAAGATGACCAACCTTTATCATTCTTCATTAAAGTACTCCCAAGTATCAGAGCTTTAGAAACAGTACTAGGAGTAAAATGGTCAGCCATAACCGAGACAGTCAAAGCAGCAACCAATAGTATCAAAAGGAAAGTTGCCCAAAGAAGACAACCAGTTAAGAAAGTGAGGGCTTTTGATAGCTCAGTGTTAGCAGATCTAATTCAAAAGATGGTCATCCCTTGGGAAAAGGAACTATATAAAATCAAGGCGGAAGAATTCAGAGCTTTAGTAAGGTGTGTGATAATATACCACAGTTTTTGCAGATTCTCCGATTACAATATTCTCCGGGACACAGATCTGGATGACCAGGGTTCTCACATTGTAATTTTTTTCGCTAAAAGTAAGAACAATCAATATTACGAAGGAACCTCCAGCTTTCTTCCAGCAAGACCGGGAGTAATAGGCTGCCCAGTGACCCTCGTGCGACAGTATTATCTACGCTTCAACCTAAACTTCAAGGGAAAAGTTTCCTCAGGAAAGTTTCTAAACTTCAGGATCTCCAAACATCAGGGTTTTCATTCAGCTTTAGCTCAAACCCATCTAGCCCAATCCACCGCAGTACAACAAACCAGATCGATGCTAGATAAGTATGGCTACGACGGATCTAAATACTCGGAAAAATCTTTCAAAGTCGGCGGAGTAACAGCACTGTGTGACTCAGGAGAAGCTTTAGAGAATGTCATGATCGCCGGCAGATGGAGGAACATGTACACCCCCATGCATTACAGAAATACATCGGTGAATTTCAGGCTCAACATCGTGCAAAATTTACCTCTGAACTAATCCAACCACCAGCCAGTTACGATTTTGCAGCAAGTTCAACATCTTGCACAGCTCGAAATCAAATATTTATTTTTTATTTTTTTTTTCAGATAGGATGGTCGATCCGTGCTTCTCAAGCCGAGCGCAAACCCTCAGAGGCTGTTTCGTAGTCTGATTCCGTTCTATAACCAATTTCTCTCCGATCTTGAAGCCGAAAACTGATAATTTTGCAAGTTTGATTAATTGATGCATTGAAAATGAGAGAATTCATGCGGAGCCAGGAATCAATATTTATCTCGAAGTACCTCAGATTCTCAAAACGAAGAGATAAATGGGGGTTTGTTTACAAATATTGCAGACATACTAGTTTAAAGTTGAATTTCAAAGGATTAGAACCAGGCGCGCAACTAGGGGGGGCCAGCCCTAGCCTGAT